GAGAAGTGCAGTGCAGCATGTCAGCTTACACTCAAAACACGAAGGAGCAGAAATTGTACGATACAATAACAGAGGTAACTTAAAGCCGGGGTCACGCTGCTTATACATCATACAAAATACATTCTGCAGACATGTTCCAATGCGAGTCACCGCGACATCCGTGCTTTGTATGCCACGTGACAAAGTAACCTCTTGATTGGTTACCTCGTGGCGTACGAAGCGCGGATGTCGAGGCGACTCGTTTCGGAACATGTCTGCAGAATGTATTTTGTATGAAGTATAAGCAGCGTGACCCCGACTTAAGGGGGACTATGCCCCTGCATTTTAAGCGGGCCACCGTCCCTCCGAATTTAAGGAAGAAAATATCTAAAAACTGTCCCTCTTAATTAAGGGACTCTGACCCCAAATATAAGGGAGACGCCGCCTCGCTTACTTTAAGAGGGGTGGTGTCTCACTTAATTAAGAGGGAGCATCTCCATGTAATATTAAGAGGTCTGTCGCCCCCCCTTAAAGTTAAGTGAGAAAAAATCGAAGAAATATCCCTCTTACTAAGTGGGACCGGGCTTAGAGTGTAGGGAATGAAGCAACAGGAGGTTGTGGAGGTGATAGAAGACCTTACGAAGAACAACGGATTGTAGCTTGGGCTAAAGTCGTACGCAAAGAAGATCTTGCAGAGGCCCAGAAAGCGGATGGGTTTTGTCAGCGGGTGTTCCGTTATTTGGTAGATTGAAACCAATCAACACTGAGACAGGGCTAACAAATAATTAAAAATCTTTCAGAACAAATGGTACGACCCAGCTTCGCATCTGAAATTAGTACTTGAAATATATCGCCTTTTTTTAAATAAAAAAAGTGTAAGTCCGAATTATATGTTACATCTAAATTTTATTGGATGTTAAGACCATACTGATCATTCCTCCTAGAAAAACAAAAAAGAATATATTTTAAAATGGTGTTTTTTTGAGAAAAGTAATGTTAAAGGTTGTACTTTTAGTTCCTAATTTCATTCTAATACATTTTTGCCCAGATAAAATGTTTTACTTCGGCGATATTGTACTTGTTTCATAAATATTTGTTGGAAAAATCATTTGATGTATATCTCCTAAATATTAACGCAACAAAAGTTATCATACAAACCACGTAACTTATCGTCAAAGAGACAAGGTTCTGATTTTTTTTAACATAAAGAAGTAGAAACAAAAACAAAGATTTTTGAACATTCGACAGTTTTACTGTAGTAGAAAGAAAATACGTAAAACGTTTTTTCTTGTTTCAGTATTCGAGTGCAGTGAAGCTCCCAAATACGCGACTTGTAACGATCGCCCAAATCCCGAAATCCACCTTTAGAGCGTTAGGAGTCAAAATCTTGAAAATTAAAATTACAACCCAGAAATGATTTTCAGTTTTGCTTTAGTGAAAAATTTGCTAAACATAATTTTCACACGTTTTGAGACATGGCCTTTTTTCTTGCACGATTTAAAGTCAAATCGCCCAGTAGTAATTGGTCGTCAGAAAGCTCAGTCGGCTCGTCAAGTTCGAGCTAAGTTGGAGCAGCTACCATTTTTAACGACAGACCAGCTCGGGGCGGGTCACTGCGAAAATGCGAGTCCGTCTTTCGCTCCGTGATGTGGAGCGTGTCCCACAGGGCGGACTTTCTTCTACCCTCGAGGGTGTTGAGAACCGCTGCAGATCTAACAGCGGATTTTGACATGATATTTCAATAGCGGATTTTGCCGCCGGGAAATGCAACGTCTGTCAAGTGTACCTGCACGCTTTCAATGACAGTCCGCCGTTTCCTTGGGAACGCTGTAGGGAGCCGCAGTCTCGTAATCACATCGACATTGCTGGCCTTAGCAAGATATGCCTCATTTTCGTAGACAGGTTTTAAAACTATGTAGAGGTCGCACAGATGTTCTTATTGACAACGTCATGCACCATACATTACCTTCGTGCACTGTTTGAAACTGACAGCCTGCCAGATGTCATCGCATCCAATGGCGGTGCATCTTTTACTTCAGCAGAATGGGAAAAGTCTTTCCTCGCGAAATCAAATTTGGCCCATACGTATCGTCCCTTACCACTCGAGTTCCAATGGTCAAGCCAGAAGTATGATGGAAAGTGCGAAGGAGACCTCCTTCGTTTGACTTCATTGACTGGTCACTCCGCCTGGCGAGGATTTCGTTTGCTCTGCAACCGGGAGCTATCTGACAGAGTTTCTCAGGAGTCGACAGATCACGACAACGTTGAATCGACTGCACTCAGATCACGATGCTCAGATGAATGCCCGAAGTGAGGATGCTTACACGAGTCAGCAATGGGCTACAACAGTGGTTTTCAACATGGCTAAAATTGCGCAAGAATAGAAATGAACAGTGGAGAGGAAAGAGAGAAGACAAGCGCAAAGAACAGTGGTTTTCAACCATTGGGGTTTTGCGGACCCCTTGTGGATCGGCAGAGATGACGGAGCACCCCATTCGTGATGAGAGGAAGAAAAAGATCTAGGTGGGTATTATGGCAATGATTAAAGGAAAGAATAAAACTATGGGCTTGTGTAAAGTATAATTCTCTCATTGACATGCACACGAAAAACGTCACCCAAAAATTGGAACGTTTCTTCTCTTTCTGAGAAAAGATAGCCTTCATTAGCGGCCTTGACTGATGAGGCAGGGCTTCTCGGAACCCTAGGATGACTTCGAGGACCACCATTTGAGAACCGCTGGGCTAGATAACTGAGGATTATGAGGCGCGGCTGGGCATGTGGCGACCGCGCACTGATACTCAACGACGAGAGAAGTGCACCATGTTGTCCAAGGCCCAAAACCGTACGTGGTACAGACAAATCAGGGCCGATTGCGGCGTCGTCACAATAATAATTTCCGCTCTTGGACCTCAGCTATTTCGAATGAAAAATGCGTGACACCATTTATTCAAGAAGCCCGTACCACTCCCCTATTGAAAAAACCAGCTTAAGCTGGTCCCAGCTTCAAGCTGGGTTATTGCCCCAGCATGCCCAGCTTGGCATGCTGGTCATGCTGGTTGATCTGGTCATACTGGTCATGATGGTTGATCTGGTCCCAGCTTCAAGCTGGGTTATTGCCCCAGCATGCCCAGTTTGGCATGCTGGTCATGCTGTTAAACTGGTCATGCTGGTGAACTTCCCAACCAGTTTAACCTGTTTAAATTAATACACAGAATAAAAAAGCCAAGCTCGTCAGAAAAGCCAACTCGGCATCCAATTTATTATTTTCGTACTTGCGGCAGCCTCACATGAACTCAAATGCTACACATCCTCGGCGCTGACACAGTACTAACCGACGCACAGATTCTCGGTGCAAATTGTCTACAATGTTAATAAAACCAGATTGCTTATCTCTCAACACGAAAAAAATACTAGACACAGGCCAAAAACAGGCAATAGCAGACGAAAATACTACACGGACGAGAGAAGCGAACCTGGGTCCCGCCAGCGATGGGGGCGAAGCGGCAACTTGCGTGGTCGGCAGAGGCGAGGAAATCCGTGTGGCTTGGATGGCATTGGCGATACTCCTCGGCACCGCCGTCATTCTTGGGCACACACACGTTCGAAGACACGAAGCGACGCCGCAGTCGGGACGTCTGACATCTTCCCGCACTGAACGGACTGCCGCTCGCTGTCTTCTCAAAACCCGCTTCGCTTGCACCGTCGTTCAACTAGTCTCCAAACAACGCGCACACAGCCGTCCCTTCGATCTGCCCTCTGCCCAAGCTATCCAAACGCGTCTTCGATTCTCCGTTTCTACCACTCTCTCTCTCTCTCTCTCTTTTCTCGCACACAAAGGTAGCTTGCAGCGCGCCTGACGCGCCCGGTGGTCTACCAAAAACGAGAGGACAAAGAACAGGACGTGGCCTCGTTCCAGCAGCCGACCTTGTCGCGCGCGCTCCCAGCAATGCCAGTTCGGCTATCTCTAGCCGACCTTGGCGTGCGCGCTCCCAGCATGACCAGCTTGACCACCACGATTATTATTTCGACCAGATTCACCAGCTTGTCTCCCAGCATGACCAGCTCGTCTCCCAGCTTGACCACATTGGCTCCATGGAAAACCAGTTTGACCAGTTAAGACCAGACTGGCTCCCAGCTACACCAGATTGAATCTAAAACCAGATTCGAGTGAGACCATGCTGGTTTTTACTTAGACCAGACTGACCAGCTTAAATTCCAGCTTGCCCAGCTTAAACCAGCTTGATTGCCAGCTAAACCAGTTTAATTACCACATTGACCAGTTTGACCACCTTGATTACCAGCTTGACCACCTTAATTACCAGCTTGACCAGTTTGATTTTCATGCTGGTTTTTCCAATAGGGTCCAAACCGTGCAATTTGAATAACGCCGACTCCATCTCCGGCGGAAAGTGCTTGCCCAAGCAGTGGTGTTACTTCGCGGTGGCGGCGCTGGAACCGACTGATATGTCGAAGGGGAACAAAACTGCGGTGCGGGATCGCAATGTTTCTTGCGATTTATCACTTGGTGGCAGTGACAGAAATATGGATGTCCGAGCTCATCAGGACGAACCTGCGAAATCTCGCTATTCGTGAGCGTTGGGAAGGAGTGTGGTGTACGGAAATGAAATGTGCACGTGGATCTACCCTGCGATTCCAAGATGACGACAACGACTAGTGTTCTGTCTGGGACTACCACGGTGCAAATTAAATTTTGTTTTAACTTAGCACGAGTACATTTGAGGTTTATTACGCAAATCTAGCAAGTAAACTTTGGTAGTTTACAAAGTTCCCATGGAACACCGCTCTACCATCGACCTTGCTCGGCTATGAAAACATCAGGTACTCCCGTCTGCGAAGTGCTCGACGGATGGAGTGCATAGTTTCGGCTTCAATGTCCGAACCCGCCATCATCATCGTATTTTCTTGGTATATTTAGAGGACTGAGTCGCCTTCTCCTCGCTCAACCCGCCAGGGTTTTAAGTTTCTCAGATAAGGATGGCCGAGAGCGTAAGCTAAAACTGCCATGGCTCCATCGTGTCTGCTTGCAACAGGCCATGCAAGAGATCTCGGGACGATTACGAGGTTGGAGGCGCCACTAAGTTCCTGGTCTGTGAGTCTTAAGTAGTAGGAAGTTCGAGTCCTTTTGAATTCGGCACCAGAAACACGGAGCAGCTCTTCCAAACATGGAGAGACTACGACGACCCTCCATCGTTCTGCTTCTGCTCGCATGTTCGGGATGTTTTCGAGCTACAGTTGCAGAGTAAGTACTCCACAGGGGCCGATTTTCTTAGAACTTTTTCTTCTTTTTTTTTTGCGCGCATTTATTGATGGTTATTTGGATGTCCAAATATTATTCAGGCTACATGATTTCACTAAAATTAGCTTTTCGTGGCCAACATTTATGCGGCCATTAGCCGAGAAAACCACACTTAAACGGCAACACTTATTTGGCGGTTACTCTACAGTGCTCCCCTCTGTCCTTTAACAAGAAGGAATCTTTATTCATTCATTCATTTATTGTACCCTAATATCGCCTTCAGGGGGCTCTACATAAGGGGGGACAAACAGCAATATATATTAAAACTCAGAACGAAGACACACACACACAAAAACAGTTTAGTTAATTACGTGTAAAGACCGGCAATTGCGGCTTGAAAGGTGCTGGGCTCTTCTATTGTTACAATGTTATCGGGGAGTGAATTCCATTCAGTAATAGACAGCTGTAAAGGGGAAAACTTATAGGTGTTAGTCATAGGGGTGGTGAAGTGAAGTTTCCGCGTGTTGTCTGTGCGTGAGGAGATGTGGATGGCGGCTCTAATATACTTATCTTTTTTGGATGGCGAATGGTAGTACAGCTGGTGCAGGGCAATCAACCGTGACATTTTCCGACGGTCTGTAAGAAGTGGAACCTTAAGATTCTGTTTTAATGCTGTAATGCTTGTGCGGGTGTAGTTACAAGTATGAAGCGAGTAGCTCGGTTTCGTATGGCTTCTAACTTATCGATTAATTATGACTGATGCGGATTCCAGATGACAGATGCATATTCAAGCTTGGGTCGAATGAGAGATGAATATGCGATCAGTTTAGTGTCCCGTGTTGCAAAGTAGAGGTGTCGCTTCAGGAAACAGAGGGTTTGGTTAGCCTTTGCAGTAATGTAATTTATGTGAGGCTCCCATGAAAGATGGCAAGTGAAGTGAACCCCAAGATATTTGTATGTTCGAGCATTTTCAGTAGACGAGTTGAATATAGTGTAGTTGAATTGGGTTGATGTACGTTTGGTATTAAAGTTGAGAAATGTTGTTCTGGAAACATTAATTTTCACTTGCCACTCTTCACACCATGTTTCGAGACATGTCAAGTCGCCCTGCAAAAGTGCACAGTCATCTAGCCTTTCTATTTTTCGATAGATCACGCAATCATCGGCATATAACCTAATTGTGGACCACGTTACTAGGTGTTCGAGCTGGTTTTTAATCGACCTACTGAAACCGGAAACCGAGGTAAAGAAAAAGAAACAACAAAAAACAACAACACTAAATCTCAATCCGTCATTTGAAAGTTTTGTCCTGTGTGTTTTGTCCTTTTTTGAGACGTTTTGTTTTGTTCTTTTTTCACCGACTCGGATTTTAGTATGCCGAATTCTTATCTAACTTTTTTCGTTTGCCCAAATAAATATCTATAAGAGGCAGAATTCGTTTAGCTTACAATAAAAACCCACGTTTCTAAAAAGTTGCATTCTTTGAGTATGCTTAATCACTGGATTTTATCCATCCGTCGACTATACCTAGAAAAATACTGCTCAGCATAGGGCCCACTCTTGAACCTATAGATAGAGAACGTAAAGATAGAAAAAGAATTTCAATAGAACAATGAGTGAAGTGTTAAGGACGTTCGCGGAGCAAGGGCTAGGACTTCGCTTCACCTCGGAGTCTCCTAAGGGGTACAATATTCAGTTTTTAGATATCCTAGTTGACGTAAAAGAAGGTCATGAATGCTGGAGGCACCACCCCAGATCCACGAAGAACTTACTAGACTATCGTTCGGCACACTAAAGGCTCGTAAAAAAATGGTCTTGAATATTCTTGCTTGCAGTCAGCGTTGACAAAATACTGTTTCCATAATATGAAAGAAAGCTTCTCAGCACAAGTTGCTAGGCTCAGAAACCCTTATTTTCCTGACTCAGTTATTACATCAGCTCGCGACAAGGTGACTCGGTACATCAAGGTAGATTCCGAAAATCCTGACAAAGAAAAAGCAAGATAGACAAAAAGAACGTCGCCGTTATACCCTATATTCATCGTCTTTCACACGGATTAAAGGAAGTCGCTTCGAGGTATGGGGTCAACGTAATTTTTTCAGCGATAAACAAACTGAGCAGGATTATAAACGGGGTTTACAAGCGTGCTGGCAAGAAAAGTAAGCCAGAACTTTTTGGACGTCGCATCAAGCATGGCATGAAGTTCGTATCCTGTGCATAGGGGACCGTGTATGAAATACGATTCTCCTGCGGTCACTCTTATATAAGTCAGACAGGGCGTTGCCTAAACATTCGTCTTCGTGAACACCATAGTTCATTAAAAGGTAGCGTGTACTCCCATTTAGCTGTCCACTGCCGTGATTGTGGATGTGAGCCAAGATTCAGTGACACAAACATGCTGTTTAGACACAAAGATCAGCTTTCGAGGGAATTAGTAGAAGCTTACCATATACCAAAACGAAAACCCGGGTGCGTGAGTCAACCATCCGTTAACCTAGTGGACAGCGAGATAGTTTTTTTTTTGGACATGGGTTGACGAGAGAATTGAAGATCGAGATTGAAGATCGCAGAAAGAAGTAAGGAGGAAGAAGAAGAGATGACTTATACCTTGTGCTGGTGTGTTTTAATGCGATTTATAACATTGCGCACTAAATGACGAATGACTGGTAGCAGAGGAAAAAAAAAGAAGCAGTCCTCGCGTGATTTTCTTTCTATGTTTTCAGAATAGATAGCTGATAGTCAGCGCCTCGTCCTGTGTGTTCTCTTCTCTTTGACCGTGTGTTATTCGCGCTGTTTTTCAATATGAATTATTACCAACTAGCCCAACTTTCCATTCTAGTGAGAGTTTATCTGTACGAATAGTTTTCTATGCTGCAGGTAGTTTCAGGCCAGGAGTAGATGCTAGAATCTTGCACGATTGATGTAAGTTTAAAAAGTTTACTGTGTGATACTCTGTCCAGCACGTTAACATGATCAATGAGAATTACATCAGCCTGTTGGAATGATATATGATTTCAGAAAAATCAAGAACAGTATCAAGAAATCGTGTCGTGGTGGAAAGGCCATGGCAAAAACCATGTTGATTCACACTATACCATTTTTTTATTTTTTAAATTTTTTGCCCGGTGCCTAAAATGATGTGATCTGAAAGTTTCGAGCAGTAAGGGAAAAGCGAAATTGGCCGACAGTTTACAGGCAGTAGTTGAAATCAGATTTGTGAATATGAATTACCTTTGCGAACTTATACGGAATAGGAATAATGGTTTCCGTCAAGGATTTCTTATAGATTGGATACAGACACTTCAAGCACTATTCTGCGTAGCGAACTAGGAACATATTTGGAATGCCGTCATAATCAGTGGCTTGCTTTTTTGAAAAATAAGGCAAGGTGGAAAATAATGCTTCAGTGGAGACAAAACCTCAGCTTACACTGATAGGTAACGTAGATTACTTAAGAAAGGTATGATGCCTTTATCGACAGTAAACACTGATGCAAAATAATCATTAAATCGCACAAAAGATGCCACAATAATTTTCAACTAAACGGTCAGAAGCCAAAAAGCTTGGATAGATTTTTTTTTTAGGCCGGCTACTGGCACCTTCAAAAGTTATCGGGTGAGTCTTAAGATAAAGTGTGCAGAGCGATATTGTTCAATTTATAAAGTTTATAAATTGAACAATATAAATTTAATTTTATAAGTTTATCAACGACAGAGCTTGTGAGCATACAGCGTCTCTAAAGGGAACAGCGGCAGGACATCTGGCAGCTCATTGGAGGACATGCCAGTGCAGTGTAGCTTTGAACAGTACCACCATTCTCGCAAAAAACAACAATCCTTATGCACGCGAAATGCTCGAGGCGCTCGCCATCGAGGAGCACGCCAAGGATTGTGTCAGCACGCCATCAATCACCATACCCAAAAAAGAAAGACAATACCTACGGAATGTCACGCCCCAAATAACAACAGCACGAGCATGTGGCGGGTTAGTTCAAAAACAATAGTTTGCTAGGAATACTGTGTAAATGATTTGTATATTTTTTGCATAAGTGTAAATATCGGAAGGGATCTTTAATAGTGGAATAGGGCCATTTATATAATAGGTTTATTGCGCTCCACTTGGGACTCATAAGGAAGGAGCAAAAGCGCAAGGAAGAAGTTTACTCCAAAATATCGTTGGTAGTCAGCTGTGTGTCATATCCTGTCCTTTCTGTCTTTGTGTTCAAATTATTTCTAAAGTTCAAGCTGATATATTTACAAGTATGTACCAACAAGCTCAACTCGTAACCGTTATTCTGTTCAATTTAATCTTCGCAAAACAAATAGAAAGTTTAAGTTTGTTTGCATTTTATTGATATTTAAATAGCATTCGCTTCCAAACACGTTTGATTTTGCATTTTAGATGAATAATGCCGCGACTTGTCTATGCCTTATGTTTTCGGGTAACTTTGGCACTCATAAGGACCAATCTGCGTAAACATTCGAGCACGCTTTTTCTAAAAAAATATTAAAGGAGTTTAATAGCACCCATATAAGAGCACATATTTGAAAAATCATCATACGAAAACTCAAGTCCATCAATTACTGGCTTGTCTTCTTCTCTAAAAAGTTAAACAGATGCGCCGAACTTCTCTTTGCACGGAATGGAGGTCGAAGTCCGGAAGTTCAGAACTCAACTAGAACCATTTGATGATCAGAGATTTCATCCACCACATGGCACCAGTAGTTACGTTAAGCAAAAGTTTCCGATAAGGGCACAAGGTCAAAAATGAATTCGGAAGACGAAGTGATTCGTGTTAAACTACGAAAAATTTGAATTAGGCTTCATTCTAAACATACCCCTCATCGTTCATCTTTAGCTTGTACACCAGTGGTACTTTATCTTTGTCGATTCTCTTTTGTTTAGCGCTTTCCCATAAACATTTTTTTTTTGATTTGAGAACAGAATTTTTCTTTCAGAGGGCGACTTCTTTCATTACTATTTTGCCCAATTCGATGGACTCG